AAATCCTGATGGAGGAGAAACCCAAGCTTCTGTTTGAGCTGGCCCTTGGACTCCTTTTATAGCAATAATTATTAACTTTAGCCCTTTTTCTTTTAGCAAGAGATGGAAAATGATAAGGAAGAAGGCAGCTCAACAGTAAAATGAAAAGAGTATAAAGATGAAAAATAAAATGGTGAAGTGTTTTCACTGAAATAAGCCTGGATTTGGGCCAAAATCCCATTTCGTTTCCATAGTTGTTTTTTTTCCCCTAACCTTTCACATTTCAGTCTGAGGTAATGAGCGAGTGCTGAAATTCTAGAACAACTTGTTTCTTTTTTCCCTTAAAAGTGGACCTCCTCATACCCTTTTTAAATGTGAGATACATATCTCTTCTTAGAAATGAGTAGTGTGTTATAAATAATTATCTCTATCATTACCTGTGAGATGACGGAGGAGTCTCGGGAGGCACGAACTCCAGCAGGAAGGGAAACAGTAGCTGCAGACTCCCTTCTTGCGGTCCAGCCCTGCTGTCCACTTCTCTCTCAGCATTTATATTATCCCTGTGTAGATCAGAGTCACAGTCTCGGGGTAGGTAACCAACATCTGGCTCATAAATTGGCTGTGTCCAAGTGAGACAATCCTACAGCTGGTTTAAAAGGTTGAACTGAAGTTAGTATGAATGTAAATCCTGGGGCAACGTAAGCGTTTCTGGTGCTGGTGGAAGCCTCCTGAATTCTAAGAGCAGAAGTTGCCTCTGGGTAGGAAGAAATCCACACCTGTGGCTTTGTCTTGGATCTCTTGGTGGTGTTCTAGCCTGTGGGCTCCCAAACTTTGGGTAGGAAAAGTACCTGTGTATCCATATGCTTCAGCGGCTGTGGTGGTGATAGATGACATCTTTTTGCAACCATTCAGTGTATTCATTCATTCATTCACTCATTCATGCATTCATTTTATGTATTAATTTTTAACTTTTACTTTGAAATAATTTCAGCCTTACAGAAACTTTACAAAGACAGTTCAAACAATTCTCATACACGCTTTACCCAGATTCCCTAAATGTTAACATTACCACACTTGCTTTATTAAACCCTGTGTGTGTATATGTATGTATTTGTGTGTGCACACACTCATGTTATTTTTCTGAAACACTTGAGAGTAAGTTGCAGATATGATACCTCTTTACCCCTATATACGTCAGTATTTTTTGCTATAAACAAGCACATTCTCTTACATAACATGGTACAATGAAAAACATAAAAAAATCATTGATATAATACTATTTAATCTATAGACCATATTCAAATTTTGCCCAGTGTTCAATTAATCTTTTAAATTTTTTAAAGAAATTTTTTTCATTCTTTAATGAAGGATTATTTATATCCAGTAAAAATTTCCCTTTTTAGTGTATGGTTTAATAGGTTCTAGCAAACTCATAGGAGACATCTAATGGTCTGGGCTGGCCATGGTTTTCTGACCCTCCCCGAGCAGCAGAGCATCTCTAAAAGTCTGGGCCCAGATTTATTCATTCCCACAGGTTTTATTCTGTTTCCAAGTAAACAGAATATGGTCTGGATATTTGTGTCCCCCCAACCCAAATTCGTATGCTGAAATCCTAACCCCCAAGGTGATGTATTGGGAAGGTGGGGCCTTTGGGAGGTGATTAGGTCACTTCCGCCCTCAGGCATGGGATTAGTGCCCTTATAAAAGAGGCCCCACGGAGCTGCCTTGCCCTTTCCACCATGCGAAGACACACCAAGAAGGCACTATCTATGAACCAGGAAATGGACCCTCACCAAATACTGAATCTACCAGTGCCTTATCTTCGGCTTCCTAGCCTCCAGAACTGTGTGAAATAAACTGCTGATGTTTATAAGGCACCTCATCTAGGTATTTTGTTAAGCAGCCCAAACTGACTGAGACACTGATGCCTGCTGCTTCCCTCCCCCAGCCTACACCACAAGGGAAGCTTTCTCTGGACTCTAGCTCTGCTCCTAGTCTTTCTCTTGAGCATGGGTGAAGTCCCCAGAGAAGAGCCTGCGAGTGGATGTTATCTCTTCATGCCTGCAGCTCCTTGGGGTCCTGTCCTCTCATGCTAGCCCACACTCAGCCTTTGCAATTTGTTAAAAATTCTAGCTGAGTTCTTCTTACCAGCTTGTTTAACATCTGGCATCTCCTCCAGGTAAGTGGATATCCAAGTCCTGTCTTTCCTTGGAGGATCCTGAGTTTCCTTGGATGCTGAGTTAGCTGGTTGCCCTGCAACTATAGCTCTATGATGAATTCAAGAAAAGTTGTGACTTCAAAGATTAGTTAGCATGTTTTGTTGTTGTTTTAAGAATGAGAGCAGCATTTCCCCCCATTTATCCACACTTTGAGCAGAAGCCAGACATCCATTTTAAAATTTTTGATCATCTATGGATTTGATTTTTTTCTTACTGAGCCTTACTAAGAAAACGTTTGGAAAGCAAAACTATTCTTTCTTGACATATCAGTAATGCAAAAAACTATTGTTTCTTGACATATCAGTAATGCAAAAAAAAAAAAAAACAAACTATTAAAACATTAAGGTAGTTATGCATCATCCTTAGAAATTTCTCTCCCAGAGAACAAACAATCATCTGAAAAATTAAAACTATCACATTTTGGCCCCCATATTTTCTCTTTCCCTGCTGCCCACGTGGTCTGGCCAGGGACCCCAGGTACCTGGGCCAGGCCTTGATGCGCTGCATAACTTCCAGGAAGGGCACGCAACTTAATTTTTTCCGAGTTTTACTAGAGTAAGTGCTTTATCAAACAGTAGCCAATACATTCCTCCTCCATTTCACCAGCTGAACAGTGGAATGCATTTTCCACGGTCTCACCCTGTTCTGGTCTAGGTGGCCTTAGTTTTACGAAGTTGTACTTGCTTCTCAGGCAAAGGGCTGCTGCCTCTTGTTGGTAGGGTGCATTCATCGAGATCCCTTTCTCTGCTGGCTTTATGTTTCTTGCCACCTAGGGAATAAGACATATACTTTTCTTGGTTGTTCTCCTCTTTACTGGGCATCCAGGTTGTTTATAATTTTGCAGCATGATAAATGATACTGTCATGAACCTCAAAAAAAAAAAAGCTATCACATTTTTAGCAGGACAGATCTAAGAATGGAATATGCTGATACAGTGACTAAGAACCTGGGTTTGAAATTTAGATTTAATTATACCTCTGATAGACAGGTTCTTTCCTGTAGTGGCTTCTGACACATACACAAATCATTGTTTTTGCATTTTCCTGAGATTATAAAGAAAATATCTGATTGAATAGCATTTGTCTCTGCCAAGCTAAGACATGGACTTACTTGCTAAAGGCTTTTAGCCAGATAGTCTACTCTGAAAGTTATGGGAATCTTTTAAGTACTTGGAAGGAAAACTAGTGATTTAAAAGAAAAAAAAATGCCTTTATTATAGGGAAACTCGGATGCCTGGAATAGCTAGAGTGTTAACAATTATATAGAAAATGTTTATATTCTGAAGTCATGCAAAATGAATTCCTGAACATGGAACTGATTCTAACACGGTAATTGGCTACTCTGAGGTTTTTCCTTCAGGGCATAGCAATGAAGCCTCAAAAGCTTTAAGCTTCGCTAGGCAATAGTGTTTTTCTTAAAGGCAGCTAGCTAGTTAGTCATAAACATTTAGTGGACACTGTATTAGCTACTATAGGAATCTAAAATGTTGTAAAAGAAATAATTATTCTGAGTAATTGTCAGAAAGGTATGGAACTTTTTCTGGACCCACTTTGTCTAAGTATCTAACTCCCAATGATAATTCACCATTCCACCATAGTTCCAGCTCTGTTGTTTTTCACACTGTTCTTTGGGGTTGGGACAAAGCTAACCACAGATTTCCTTTTAGCGTTCTCCCACAAACCTTTAATCTCCCTTGTACCTGGCAATTGGACCTCCTAACTCAGGTACCAATGGTCTGAAGCATCTCCTTGACAACCCAAAGCTATCTTCCTACCACGTACCTCATCGAATGAAGGATGTCCTCATTCACCTCCACAAAAAATCTGAGAAACCAAATTTATACCAAAGTGTCCTTTATTGAGACATCCTTCTTAAGAGGATACCTTTCTTATAATATTTGTTTTTTGTTTTCTTTTTGATTGGAACAGAGGATATTAGAATCTCAGGCAGGTATCTCTCATGGTCCTTCACATGACCCTGTGGGCTGGGCACCTAGTCTGCATGTAGGCTGACCCTTCCAACCTGCACAAGCAGGAGCGGGCTGCAGATCCATTCCCACTGGAGCGTGTTCTTCAGTGAGCGTAATGAGGTTGGTCTGTGTTACCAACAGGTTCCCACCTATTCCCCTTTGTGACACCTGTATTAGGAGTACTATCTTTGGAAACACACAGATTTTCTCCTTTCTTCTGTTCGAATCTTCAGCTTGGAATCCAAGTGTTAGTTTAATGTTTAGGTCTTATTTAACTGGTACCAATCCCTATCCACAGTTCTGGGGTTCCCAGTACCGTCAGTGTTCCTGGTGGGAAAAGATTACAGTAGTCCCCTCTTATCCATGGGGATATGTTCCGAGATCCCCAGTGGATGCCTGAAACTGCAAATAGTACTGAACCATGTATATGCTATGTTTTTCCCATACACATATACCTATAATAAAATTTAATTTATAAATTAGGCACAGGAGGTTAACAATAACTAATAACAAAAATAGAAAAATTTAATGACATACCATAATAAAAGTTATGTGAATGTGGCCTCTCTCTTCTCTCTCTCTCTCAAAATATCTTATACTGTACTCACCTATTTTCTGACTGTGGTTGACGATAGGTGGCTAAAAACATGGAAAGCAAAAATGCACGTAAAGGCAGATTACTGTATTCTCTCAACTGTAAACTGATTCAAGAAGACCACCAATCCCTACCTACTAAGATATGGTAGATAATGCTACAATGCAGTTTTAAGCTGTGTTATTCTGAGTTATCCTGGGAAATTAATAGGCACATCTCTTTCTCATATCCTGCATAGGGGGAACAGGGACCTCGAGGCTTTCCAGGGCCAAAGGGCACCACAGGCGTTGGCCTCCCAGGCCAGAAGGTAAGTGTTTCAGCATCTTAGAGAAATGTTTAGGCTTAGGATCTCAGTAGCTTAACTGTAACTTTAGAAGACCTCTTATGTATGTGTCATGCTCCTCTTTATAACTCTCAGAGGAAGAAAAAAATCTACTTGAAATTCAATCTTTATGCATTGCCTTTCCACCTATAAACATGCTCACTCTATAAAATCTCCTCCTTTTCATTCTCAGAAGCCAGCTAATAAGGGAATAAATCCTTACAACATATCGTGTAGGAGATACCAGACAACTCAGTTATCTGGTAAATTATGTAATAGTTGAATGTCCCGAAGGCAGTGAGCTAATCAGATGGTATCTCAAGATCGCTTTGCTTTGAGATTTCTGGTTCATCATGAATTAGATTACGGTATCTGAAGGAATATAAATAAACTGTTGTTTGTCTCAACAAGAACAGCATGTGTTTAGGAGATACCAGTTGCAAATAAATCAAATTGTAGAGTTTTTCTCATCTGGTTTTAATATCCACTTCTGAACTTATATATTTTTTTGTATTATGAAGGGAGAGCATGGAGAACAGGGCGATGTGGGAAAGAAAGGTGATAAAGGGGAAATCGGAGAGCCCGGAGCCCCAGGAATGCAGGCAAGAAAAATTTTTAAAGTTTCACTGTGATTTTATACTCTAACTTGTTCCAACCCATATTGACTGCTACTCTTCTTCCACTAAGTAGGGGTTACAAGGACCAAAAGGAGACCAAGGACTTACAGTGAGTATCCTTCCTAGAGGGTAATGGAGGGCTTGTGCTTACAAGATTATTGCATTCATTTTAGCTTTAGAATTATGAATTCTTTGGATGCAGAATTCCAGTTGCTATTTAAATGAGTGTGACTGCTACCAGCCCAGCGATGATTTAGATGCATGAGGTAATTGAATCTAAATGTGAGGGGGAAATAACCCCAGGCAGCCTGGCCTGGACGCGTGGTGGAGGTGGGGACTACTCCCTCTGAGCCCTAGGAGAAAGGATCATGTTGTTATCATTGGCAGCAAGGAGGTGAGCTGTTTCAAAGAAGCCATTGGATCAAGTGACTTTGTATTTTACGTGGCCCTCCTCATTTCAGAATGGGAGCTCTCTTTTTCCTGAACAGGTTCCTTTAGGAAGTGCTCTGCGGAGAATGGCAATCATGAAATTGGGATGACATTTATGTATTGATTCACCTATTCAATATTTATTTCTTGAGCATCTACAGACTTTTCTTTTTCCTATTCCTCTCCCCACACCATTAAAAACAGAAATCTGACTGTTTAAAGTCTCATGGGTGGGAAAGTTTTAGAATTTCAATAGCAAAGTCTAATTCTTCCTTTCTGATTTGAAGGCACTACATCTCCTGGAGTTGAGAAAAAGGGACCTTTTCTGTTTTTCCCTTTTGTTTTTCCCGTGAGTCATGGTCTGGGGATGCTGATCCTATGTGCTGTGGCAGGAAAATCCAGGTGTGAGGGGGGAATTCAGGTGGCGAAAGCCACAGAGCTGGGCCTGTGACACACAGAGCTGCACATGTGCTCTAGGGCCTGTCTGCCTTTTTCTCCTTGTCGTTCCCCACCACAAGTCAGACCCCCAAAGATGCCTTCAGTGGATGAAGCAGCAATTCTTCCCTAAAAGTATCAGGGGAGAGTGTATGTAAATGAGCAGAGGAACATTCCCCATGGAATTCCCCATGGGTTTTTGCCTGCCCTCTCCCAACATGGGGAGTGAGACTAGTTTCCTTCATCCATTTGTTTGTTGATTTATTCATTCATTTCACCAACATTTATTGGGTGTGTACAATAAACCTTCCTCTGGGTCAGGCTCTGACATAGGCACTTGGAAAATAGTGGGGAATGAGACTGTGTCTCTGGACCGAAGCCGCTCAGGGCTGAGTGGAGAGAAAAACAAGCAAAGGGGTTTTGCCTGCAGTGTGCTAAACACCGCAATGAAAGAAGTGGTTATGCAGGCCCAGAACAAAAAATGACACATGATGATGTTTGGGGACAAGAAAGGCTTTATCTCTTGAGTGGAAGGTTTTTAACCAAGAGTCAGAAACCTTAGAAATGGGGACATCATTCTGCTGACTTTGGCTTTATAGTTTAAAAATTTAAATGAAAACAACCTGGATATTCCCCACTTGTGCTACTTTTTTTTTTTTTTTTTTTTTGAGACGTGCTACTTTTAAGCCACATCACCAGCGACATCACCTCCACCCCAATTCTGTCATTATGGATTTGTTCTTGAATATTTTACTTTTGCTATTATATAATCTTATAGGAACATTAAAAAAAGATAAAATTTTACTTTTGCAGCTGTTAAATTTTATCTTCTTTGGGTTCCCTGCTCCTTCCTTTCAGTTTCTGTTACTCATCCCTTTCTGCTTCAAGGCTTTGGCAAGTGTAGAATCCTGCCTGCTCTACTCTCACTCCAGTTTCTTGTAAACACACTGCACAGGGCAGGGCACTGGCAGGTTTACGTCTAGGACCCAGCTTATCTCAGGGGGCCCTTCTGAAGGAGCTCCCGGGCAGCAGGACAAGGAAGGGGCATTCAGGAACATGGGCATGTTTCACGGAAGAGCCAAAGTGGGAGTATTAAGAAACTGAGGAGGGGACTTGCAAAATCATGGACTAGTACAGAAAAGGAAGGAGAACACAGGGTAGTGTGAGTTCTCTTTAGGTCCCAGGGCTTGTCTTGGTTGCTCAACACATGTGGCTTAAGTCATATGACTGAATGCATGCATTGCACCATGCCGCTGTAGGTAGTGTTAGAGTTGCTGCACCCTGAGCCAATGTGTGCATTAATCTTACTTAATCTACACCACAGTCCTGACACAGAGATGCTGTTAGGTCCTCTAATGACCAGGGTCACATAGTTGATAAATGCTGGAGCTGCAGTTTGAACTCCAAAAGTCTGAGCTATTATTTCACCACTCAAACCCATTTTAGTTATGATATATTATATCCAACTTTTGACCTCTGTTATTTATTTTATTTTCTGCAGTGAAAGGATTAAATCAAATGGCCCAATGCCGATCGTAATAAGATACCCTTTATGACTATAGGAAAAAATATTATAGCCATATATTTAATGTTAATACATTTTCCTTTTTTCCCCCAGAAAGAAGAAATTATCAAACTTATTACTGAAATATGTGGTAAGACTTAACTATCAAAAAAAATTATCACTTTAAAGTACTAGCCCCACTATACACTGTGTTGGTGGGATAATGTGTTCCCTGGAAGATGTACATTACATAGCTAGTGGGAAAGTTTGAAGCTCATTTGAAAAGTCAATGGGAAACTGAAAGGAAGCAGCAAGAGAGGCTGTGGGAGTCCTGATTTAAGAAAGGAAAATCATCTTCCCAGGCTGGTTAAGGCGTGTGAAGGTGTGGGCCCAGAGTGTGTAGGCAGCGAGGTCTTTTGCAAGCACAGTGCTCATTTGTATTCAGTGACGTTTACCTGAGCTCAGGAAGAAAAATTCAACAAAGGAAATATGACTAGAAGAGCCCAACTGGCATTTGAGTCCAGCCTAGCTGGGGATTATAATGTCTGCGTTTTTCCTGAAGCCAGGAAGTCTTTCTCAATTGAGTTTTGAGTTGTACTCAATCCCAAAGGCAGGAGGACAGAGTCAGGAGTTCATCTTGCTTTGTAACTACTAAATGTGTTCATGGCTGAACACTTTAGACTTAAAATAGTTACCAGAAAGAGGAAGTGAAGAAAACAGATTAGCCAAAAGGCAAGAGATTAATGGAATAATCATGAGACAGTCTTCTGTGTTTAAAGTGAACAGAGTCAGGAATATCGTCCTTCCAAAAAGAGAATCCCAGAACTGGCTTGTTCCCTAAAAGCTTTGGACCTAAGAACCAGCCTAGAAGTCTCTATGGTGATAGGCCAATTTAGACATGGCTTCTGCATTCTAGAGGCCCTGTAAAAATAGCACCTGGTTTCCTGATGGTTTTCTGTGGTAGGGTTGTTGGGCGACATGAAGATATGAATGATAATTTCTATTTCCTGGTGACTCTGGCAATTGCTTTAAGTGATTGTTTATTGGCCAGGTGCAGTGGCTCACACTTGTAATCCTAGCACTCTGGTAGGCTGAGGCAGTAAGATATCTTGAGCTCAGGAGTTCAAGACCAGCCTGAGCAAGAGTGAGAACCTCATCTCTACTAAAAATAGAAAAAATTAGCTGAGCATGATGGTAGCACATGCCTGTAGTTCCAGCTGCTTGGGAGGCTGAAGCAGTAGGATTGCTTGAACCCAGGAGTTTGAGGTTGCTGTGAGCGAGGCTGATGCCACAGCACTGTAGCCTGCACTCTAACCTGGGTGACAGAGTGAGACTCTGTCTCAAAAAATAAATAAATAAATAAAACAAATGCTTATTTATTGACGTAAATAGAAGTTTTTTATTGAGCAGCATTCTCTGGGATCACTCCCTCAGAAGATTTCATAGTATGGACGTACTGCTGGCCTCCTTCATAACTCGGAAGTCACCATAGTTGTCATTGTTGGTGATGGGAGACATAAACTAGAGTAGTTAGGGGTAGCTATTCTTTTGTAGTTTAAGGCCCCAATCCTTCCCTACAATTAAAATTTTTCATCCTATTACTTCATCTATTGGCCTTTCCAGTGAGAAAATTTCCATTTTCATACAAGGATATGGTTGAAGACTGAAAGACCGGCTTTCAGATTCAGATTAAATATAAATGGTGGAGTGATAAAGAGCAAATTTGGGACAGTGGTTACCTCTTGGGGAGAAGGGGTGGGATGTAACTGGGAGAGCATACACAGGGTGTGCCAACTCTTTTAAAAGTGTCTTATTTTTAAATCTGAGAAATGGGCACATAGGTGTTTATTATTTTATCCACTACTGTGGATTTTTTCCAACATATTATTTCTTTAAAAGTCAAGTGTAGAATTCAGAAGGGAGATAGTTGTCAGCTGTCTTCACAATCACAGAAAAGGAAGGTAATAATTCAGCTCTCAGGTTCATTTGTGCCCTTCTCTCCGCTCCCCTCCCCAATGTGATGTCAATCAGTTATGCTTTGATTTTCATTCCTGCAACATTTCTATCTGAACGCTCATCTTTTAGGTTGTGGGCCCAAATGCAAAGAGACGCCGCTAGAGCTGCTGTTTGTGATCGACAGCTCAGAAAGTGTGGGGCCAGAGAACTTCCAGATCATCAAAAATTTTGTGAAGACTCTGGCTGACCGGGTTGCTGTGGACCTTGCCACGGCCCGCATAGGCATAATCAACTACAGCCATAAGGTGGAGAAGGTGGCCAATTTGAAGCAGTTCTCCAGCAAGGATGACTTCAAGCTTGCTGTGGACAACATGCAGTATCTGGGAGAAGGCACCTACACAGCCACTGCTCTCCAAGCAGCCAATGACATGTTTGAGGACGCGAGGCCAGGTGTAAAGAAGGTGGCTTTGGTCATCACTGATGGACAGACTGATTCCCGAGATAAAAAGAAACTGACGGAAGCGGTGAAGAATGCCAGTGACGCCAATGTGGAGATATTTGTCATTGGGGTGGTGAAGAAAAACGACCCCAACTTTGAAATATTCCTCAAAGAAATGATTCTAATTGCTACTGACCCAGAGCATGTTTATCAATTTGATGACTTCTTTACCCTGCAAGGTGAGGAAGGCTATCTTTCCCAGGGGAAAGGAATTTGCATTGTTCTTCCAAATGCCACATCACTGGATTATCCTGACCAAACAGGGAAATTAAGTTAATAAGGCTTATGCCAGCATTAAACTGTAACACATAAACTTCAGAAGGTAAAAAAAAGTTTAGTATCATCCAGTTTAGAGGGTATTGTCTTTATTCATGTGTGATAAGTGTGAGTTGGCCTTAGAGTTGTTTAACTGGGCTCCATGGTCAATGGACAGGGATGAAGAGAAAGAATGGGACTTGGGAATATTGCTAAGCTTGGTTAATGTTCAGAAAGTTGCTTAACTAAAATAAGGGACTGAGCAACCCGGCAGCAGGGCAGAAAACAGACTTGATCAAAACGAATCAAGAAGTGCCTGTTGAATGAAAAAAGTTACGGTAATCTAGAGAGATGAGAAATACAAGTAACTGGGATTATTTTGAGGGCATGCTCTATTTTTATCAAAACAGATAATGATGAGTAAATAAGTTGATGTCAGAAATTTATCACATAGAACAACCTTTTGGATGTTCATTGTACAATCAATGCTAATCGGACGGGCTCCCCTATGCTAAGTTCACCCTTTTCACATTAACTGATATATATTAATGAGGCATTTAAGACACTGACTCATCTGTGATTAAATTATGGCTAGTATCACTTTACAGTGAAATTATCTTCCAATTCTTTGGATACTGATGACTAATTATAGCAGGGCCTGTACCTGGCAAGCTGGTAGAGCAAGTGGAAGTTATTCTTAACATGATTGCATTCTTCAGTTTGGCTCCATCCTTCCTCCTCCACCCACTTGGGAGTGGGGCATGAGTGGCGGGGCACGGACTCTCAATGCCTCGTCCTGCCTACTCCAGCTACCAGCACAGCTGGCCCTATGGGTAGCATGCCACGCTCAGAAGTTTTCCCTTTTCTATGTCTCTCCCTCTCCAGAGCTTTCTAACCTGGGGTTCCATTTCCTCAACACCCTTCTGGGTGACTGGTGGTTGATCCTGTGTATTTAATCTCACTGGGCTGTGAATGTGTTAGAGTGGCCAGAAGCATTTCAAAGCCAACTTATATTTTAATCATTGAAGAGCTTTATCATCTCGTCTGAAGGACTTAGTAATTTATTATAGCCAGTGAGCAATTTATTTTTGGATCGGATGGCCTTTTGCTATCCCTAAAACCAGAGGTAATAGCCTATTCAATTTATTATGGGTGAGGCTATCCCTTTACGTAAAGTAATTCACAGTTAACAGACACTTTAAACAGCATTTAAATCATTCTTTTGTCTCTTTGTGCCATCATATAACATTAAATTGTTTTATTTTAGATGGCCTAATACAGATGATGTAAAAATGCTTTATAAGTTAGTTCACTTAGCAGTTGATATCAAGTAATGGGAAATTGCTTATCTTCAGGAGAGTAAAGATCTCTTTAAACAGGTTTTAAGTAACGTTTCATTGCTTCCACTGTCTCTCTTTTCTACTTCTCTTTTAAAAGATACCCTGAAGAAAAAATTGTTTACAAAAATTTGTGAGGATTTTGATTCCTATCTCGTTCAAATTTTTGGTTCATCATCACGTCAACCTGGACTTGGGATATCAGAGGCAGAACTTGGTGAACCTACTCCAGAGCCTCAAAAAGAAACTTCTGAGTCAGTAAGTGACAATCTCTCTTACTTTGTGACCTTCAAATGGTATGTTCTGTCTATTTTATATCAAAGACCATTTTGCCCTGCACCATCAAGAATGAGCTGGGGTATGTGTATTTTCAAGTCCTTGTCTCTAAATGGTAATATCTTGACTCCAGATTTCCAGTTCTGAAATAGCTTTGGGGAGTATAAGTATGAATATTGCATTTATTTGAAATTCCATACTTTATAAGTAATTATTTATTATATGTTGCAAAATATTTTTATGTTATACCACCAAAGTAATCACATATGCTAGAACAAAGTAACACTGTGTAATACTTGCATTCACCCAATTGCGATGCTGTGCAGATTCTTTATATCAGGGTATATAACTCTCTGTCCTCCATGGGTGCATCCACTCCCCACTTTGTACCTTCTCAAGTTTTTTCAATATGTGCACATGCCCAGCTGGCCTGTCTCCCATGCTTTAAGCCATGCTCTTGCTCATTTAGCTTCCACCTCCTGTGCTCACAGTGGGGACTGGGAGAGAAGACACACATGCACATGGTGCAAAGGGGGTGCTCTGTGTCAGAGCTCCCTGATCATGTGGCATGGGAAGAACTGCCTCCTGAGTGTATTCAGACAAATGTGACCATCCTCATTGCAAGCTTCTGGAACTAACTTCAGCCAATCAGATCATGAGCAACTATTCAGTTCTTTTAGATAAAAATTGGGGAGCCTCCCATCATTACTAGTGAGTGCTAGTCTCTTTCCCACCAAGTTACAACTAAAGCAAGTTTTGACTGATCTCTGCTACACTCATGGACATCCTCCGGCAAGTGGGCACACTGCAGTTGTGCCCCACTCTGTAAGTTCAGTGAAGTCCTGCACTGTCCTTTTTTATGAAGGCTTCATGTACATGAAGAGTCATCATGAGCAAGTGCAACGGTATCCTAACATCAGGATTTAGCTAACAGTCTAGTTAGACTAAGGCCAAGAGAAACATCCAGATCAGTAGTTGGACCATTCAGCCATTCAGGGATCAGGCCTAGGAAACCATTACTAAGGGCACAGACTATAGGACTCACTAGATTTTATACCCTGTTTGAAAAAGGGCAGAAAGGCCTCTAACATGTTTCTATTTGATTAAATACTAACAGACTCTGAAATAGGTACTGCCCTTAGATTGTAGATTGAAATTAACACACACATTTATACCACATGGTCTATACCAGGGGTCAGAAAACTGTTTGTAAAGGGCCATGTACGGAATACTTTGGGCTTTGTAGGCCATTTGCTTTCTGTATCAAATTCCTGACTCTGCCTTTGAAGTGCAAAAGTAGCCATAGACAATACTTAAATGATCGTGGCTTATTTTATAAAAATAGTCTTATCAGACTTACTTATAAAAACAGATGGTGACTTGGATTTGGCCCACAGAGGTTTGCCAACTATGGTCTATATTGAGCACTTTAAAATAAATTACACACGATAATGTACATAGTCTGCTATTGGGGCCTTGTCTGTTTTTGTGACTTACCACTTTGTCCCTCCCCTAGTCAATCCATGTCCCTGTCTAAAGTCTTCCTAAACAAGAAAAAGCTCAGGTTTAATCCAGGAAGTGATGCTTAGACTGAGTCCTGCTCATAATGACTGAATCAAATTTTTGCTATATTAACACCAATGAATTCCAGTAGCATGTATTGATCATTTACTGCTGTGCTAGGTGGTGGCTCTTATGACATTGTTCGTGCCTGAGAGAAGCCCACAGTCTATGAGGGAGACAAGTAAGTACAGGATACATTAGGAGTTTTAGCAGAGCTATGGAGGAGGAGAATGTGTAATGGAAAATGTCTTAGTCTGCTTGGGCTGCTATAACAAAGATATTATGGACTGAGTGGCTAAAACAACAAACATTTATTTCTCACAGTTCAGGAGGCTGGGAAGTCCAAAATCTGGTGTTTGTGAGGGCTTGCATCCTGGCTTATAGACAGCCACCATCTTGTGTCCTCACGTGGCTGAGAGACAGCTCATCTCTCTCATGTCTGCCAAGGGCACTAATCCCATTCATGAGGGCTCCACCCTCGTGATCTAATTATCCCCAAACAAAGGTCCCACCTCCAAATACCATCACGTTGGGGATTCAGGTTTTAGTATATGAATTTTTGGAGGGACAAAAACATTTAGCCTATCACAGAAGGCTTCACAGAGGAGGTGGCATTGAGCCAAGTTTTTAGAATAACTAGGAGTTTTTCAAGGGAAGAGTAAGGTAAAATGTGTTTCCAGCAAAGAGAACCTGTGGGAAAGGGGTGATTCCAAAGTGGCATGGCATTTCAAGAAAGTCAGTCAAGTTCAGTCTAATTGTAGCATAGAGTCTGTGTGTGGCAGAATGGTGAGAGTTAAAGCTGGACAGGTAATGTGAGGACTAATTATCAATGGTTTCATGTATCAAGTCAAGGAGCTTGAACTTCATCCATAGGCCAGGCAGCCAGACACAGCAGAGGAGTTTTTAAAGCAAGGTTCAAATGGTCATATTTGGTTCACAGAAAGTATAACCTTGGTTGCAGTGAAAGATACCTAGGAGAAGGAGGTGTGGAAACTGCAGATGAAGAAACTGTGATAGTCCAGGTAGAAGACAATAAAGCTCTGAATGGAAGGCAGGGCCAATAGGAGTAAAAAAAAAGAGGCACAGATTGTAGCCATTTCTAGGGTAGAATTAACAGGATATAGTGATTGAATGGTTTGGAGGTTAGGGAGAGGGAGGGGTTTTGGTATGACTATTGGGTTTCTGGCTTCAAGATGATATGGATTGAAACATCATATACTGAGATGGAGAATACGGGCAGTAAGGTGGGCTTTTTACAGAGGAAATAATAAGTTCAGTTTGCACCATGTAAAGCAGAGGTGCCTGAGGGACATCCAAGACAGTTATGATACAGAATAAGGAACAGCAAGAACATGTGCCTCTGTATCATGTCCCAGCAAATTTGATGGCCTTGAGAGACAAATGACATTAACAGACTACGAAAGATGAAGTGTGCTAGTAGCAGGAGTGGGGAGGGCATGAGAAGAACTATCCAAAATAGTTTATAACACCACAAGCCACATGGAGGGAAACTGACTGAGCATCAGTTAGGTCTCTCTGGGAGCCTTTGACTCCAATAGTGGGAGCTTGCAATGAACTTGAGCTTCTTTGTACCAGTCCATGGCCTGTTAGGAAACGGGCTGCGCATCACCGTCTGAGCTCTGCACCCCACCCCCTAACCCACGACACCCCACCCATGACACTCCACCAGTTTGTGGAAAAATTGTCTTCCATTAAACCAATCTCTGGTGCCAAAAGGTTGAGAACTGCTGCTCTAGATCTTCTCATCCTCACTGTCTTTGCAGAAGCACCAAGGCAAAACTGAATTTTTGAACAGTGATTTCCTAATAGATATTTAGTCTGAACAAACATGCATGCATTTATATTCATATTTCAGTCCCCAGTATACGGTCATGCATTGCTTAATAATGGAGACACATCCTGGGAAATGTGTCATTAGGCAATTTTTTCAGCCCCTATTGCTCCCAGGCTACAAATCTGTACAGCAGCACATTATTGTTCTGAACACTGTAGGCAATTATAACATAATGGTAAGTATTTGTGTATCTAAACATATCTGAACATAGAAAATGTACAATAAAAATACAGTATTATAATCTTATGGGGCAACTGTCATTTATGCAGTCCATGGTTGATCAAAATATTGTTATGTGGTGCATGACTGTGTATAGTATACATATATATATACAAAAGATAAAATATGTTTTATAAAAAATATAAATATGTTTTTATATCTCTGTGCTTGCATACCCACTTTTATATAATAGCTGTAATTACAAATTTATCTAAAATAAAGTGACTCTGTCAAAACCTTTAGATTCTCAGATTGTTCCTGATCCTACCCTAGGCAACACTGCAAAGCAAGTGAACAGTTATCTCAGAAGTATCATTTCCCTTTTGGTGTCTTTCTTTTCTTTCTTGTCCCTTCTGTCACTTCCTCAGGATACCTAGCTCTGTCCGTCCTTCCTCCTCTTCTTTCTACCAAAGTCCGTTCTTAGGGGAAAATTTGATATTAGCTCTTTACACTTTAGTGTGAAATCTAAGTCAGTGGGTTTCCATCTCAAAGAAGAAGTAGCATTTAAGCATCACATCTAATTGTTGAATGAGACTTGATCCTAATTCAGATGTACTCTACATATCTGGGAACAGGTATGTTGAGAAATACAGAAAGCAGAAGGATCGCCCCAGGTTTTACTAAATCCCTAATACTTGAGCAACCCCCTGCTCTGTTCCTCATACAGTCCAGTCTTGGGAAGCTAAACACATACATGCATTCTACTCTGTCCCTCTGCTGCAATCTCAGGATAATTTACACTTTCTTCTGGAATTTATCACATTGTATGTTGTCAATAATTATTTATGAATATACCTTAACTTTACTAATGGGTTTAAATTCCTGAGAACATGATCTGTGTCTAATTAAACTTTGTGTCCCGCTGGTGACCTAAAATAGTGCTTTGTTTTACACACAGTAGGTGCTCAATTCATGCTTAGAGACCAAATGAATGCTATAGCAAGTGTTGAGCTAAAAAAGAAATCTGAAGATTTTCTTCAATAAAAGGCATCAATTACACTGTTAAAAAAAGATTGTATACATAAACATAAAAAGATGCTTATATTTGATGGGATTAATAATGTTAACACTTCATATTCCTTTATTCTTTCTGGATTTGGCCAGTTGGGTTAAGATTTCCAGAATATAAATGGGAATGTGGCAATAAATCGAGTAAACATCAATTGATCAGGCCAACAGGTGATATTCAGTAATGATTCATTAAGCAAATACACGTATTAATTTTTTGCCTGAGGTCACTTTTTGCCATTCTGACTGCATTAATAAGTAATGTCAGTACACACACAGGGTGTTTATTCACTGGAGCTGATTTCTTGTAATATTTTAGATTTTTTTTCCCCTTGAA